CCGCCGGTGTCGGTAGAATGCTTTGTTGATATGCTCCATCTGCCTGGCCGGTCCCGCCAAACCCATCCCATCCGGTGGGAAAAGATCTTCCTGCCCCAGGGGAGGAAGGGCAACTGGGGAGGCAGCCGGCAAAAGGGTGCGGGCAACCGGGCGGGCCGGGAACGAAGCCCTTCCGAGTACCGTGTGTGTGTGTGTGTGTTGGGGGGAGAGTTTGAAAAGAAACGGACGCGCGTGACCATGCCTCTTCCGTGTGACTATTTCAAAATCACGCCCTCATATTTGACATCCGTTTGCTGGCTGTTCAAACCTCGGCCCGATGCCCAGCTAGCCCACAGGGCAGGGTTGGGCTCAATCGTGGGCCATGTTTGTCCTGGGCCGTGGGCCGTTGGCGGTTTCCGACTCCCCTGGTGCTGTTTCGAGGCCTTGGGGGCCTTCTCCGGGGCATCTCCCTGTCCCTCGGGCTGGGCACTGCCCGGTCTTACTGGCCCGGCAAGCCTATGGGGCTGCATGGGCAAAAGGAGGACACCTGCCCGCATGAGGCAAGCTTCCCCTTGCAATGGGCAACAACCTTGGGCTTGGCAGTGTGAGGCAACCAGCCGTAGCTGGCACAGGGTCAAGTCTGATGAAAGGCCACCGTCCCCGAACGCGCCGGGCCTGCGACCGAGGCAGCCACTGCGCTCGATGGGAGATCGTCTGCTGCCACGCCTGGCTCGTTCGGGCCGTTCCGCACAAAGCCCCGGCCCGGCAAGTACCGATCGTCATCTTGCCTCTGCCCCCTCGTCGATGCGGGCATCCGCAGAGCCCTCTTGCCCCTCCCCCCTCCCCGGGGGGGGGGGGGGGGGGGGGGGGGGGATGAAGAGTGGGCCTACCCTCCCCAAGAGGCCGAGATTAACATATGTCGGCCGCTAGGGGGGAGGGGGGTCCCGCATTTTCGAGCATACAGAAGGCACGGGTTTCGCCGGTGTCCACTCGACTTGCAACCGTCCCAGTTGTATGCCCCGGTGGAGGCGGGCGGTGGCCTGCGATCGCCAATTTGTGCTCCCTTCCGGGAAAAGAAAGATGAACGAGGGCAACAGCCGGGGAGTGCCGCCGTGGCAAATTGTCTGCGCAGCGCCACCTCCCACGATGCCGGCTCCTTTTCTTCCTCGCGCCTACCGCCTAATGCGGAGTGTGGAGGGGGGGGGGGGGATGACGAGTCAAAGAGCCTCTTTTTTTCTTCAAATGGCTGAGACCACCGACGGGCCTACAAGAGCCCCGGTGCGCCTGCCAATCCCCGCCCCCCGGCCCCGCCCCTGGCCCCACCCCCCTGGGCTTCAAAGAATATGTGGACGCAGATCTCCAGGTCAAGGGCTCGAATTCCAACCGCGCGCCGCTTCTGCGACGCCACATCCTCAATGCCGCGCGTTCCAAGCAGTAGAAGCTCTGGGCCCTGTCTATCCCCCC